GCTGGGGAAGGACTGGAACAGGATCTAGATACAATTCGAAGGTGATCGGATAAGTGGGATCTGCCACTGAATCTAGGTAAGTGTCAGCTCTTGACCACAAGAGCCAATGATGACACGAGAGGTGGTACGCATCTGCAGCATGTCTCTGAGGCAAAGGACCTTAGGGTAATGCTCACGAACGACTTCAGGCCTTCCCTGTAGTGCAAGCGTGTGTTAATAAAGCTCGACACGAACTTTTCAGGTTGTGTGCTGTTGTAAGTTGCAGAAGACCCGAGTTTTTTGTACCGTCGTACAAAACTATAGTGCGTTCTCATTTCGAGTGTTGCGCACAGACATGAGCGCCTTATTTTAAACAGGACGAACGCTGACTTGAGAAAGTACAGCACTTAGCAACTAGAATGGTAGCAGGCCAGAAATATAAGGGATACCTCCAAAGACTGGGGGACCTGTACCTGTTCTCCATGGCCCGCAGACACATGCAAGGCGACCTTATAGAGACATTCAAGATTGTCAGAGGGCTTTCGGGTCTAAAGTTCGAAAACGTGGACTGTGAGAAGGACGAACAATGCCTTTTGAAAGCAAAGTGTCGAACTCAGGCTCCTTAAAAACTAATTTCTCCGGTGCCAGTCGGCGAGGTCATGCCGTGACTGGTGGTCGTTTAGTGATTATGTGGTGAGCCACACGATCCGTCACTAGGTTGATCTCCTCAATAGGTTCAGTCAAATTGGGGAAGCGTTCCATTAACGAGTGGAACGAGTCGAGCGAATCAGGTAGGATACCTGTGATTCGGTGAACGTCTGTGTGAGCTTTGAGGCCTGTGAATTTAATGTTCGAAAAACCAATCAACCTCAGTCCACGTGAGTCAACCAGTAACTTATAGAACTGCCGAAAAGTGATACCGAGGATACCTGTAGAAACGTCCGCGAGAATAAAAGTCCACGGATACCGTTGTGGAGGCCGCATGTTAACCGTTAGCCGTCGTGCACCTAAGTAGGAATGGGGTGCCATTGGCAGCGCACAACGGAAGTTGTGAAACACGAGGCTTGCTGATACCGACGGGTGCGACAGAAATTTGGGCTCCCGTGTCAACGAGGAACCTGATGCATGTGTAGCCATCTTTCATGTAAAATAGGCGGCCAATCTGGGGTGGGTGGGCCGGCGAGCACGGCCGCAGATACTCGCCGGTGGTGGCGTTTCCCGCGACGTAAGTGCAAGCAGGTTTACATCTGCGGACTCTTGGTCCATAAGTTTTATGGAACTAGCTATACCCGTCCCTACCCGGTTTTGAAGATTTAGACTTGGGACGTTGGGCCAAGGGGAGGATGGATTTAGCAGCCTTAGCGTGCCCACGGCGTGCCCGGTCCCTAGCGACGTACGAAGGGGGTTGGGGGACTCTATCTTTA